TTCCCATTAGCATCGGCCTCGTCAGCAATGAGCTCTGCCTCGGCGGTTTGCCCATCTGGCTTTCTGACGTCAACAACACTTACAGGTGACAAATCAACGCAAAACATGAGTAGAATGCGTGGCTCAACAATTACATCTGCGGTCAAATCATTTTCTGGTATCAACAAGCCCAACCAGTCCCTCATTGAAAAGGGATGCCATTCCCCAATTAGCATTTGAGTACAAGTGGAAGCAAGTGAGTGCCATCACACAGCCTGCGTGCCGTACTTTCAACGGGCCACACCACTGAGATAAATTTGCTTGGAACCATGCCTTCTGATACACGCTGATTGTTCTGAACGCGGTTTTATTTCAGCCGACACTTTGCTGTTTCGAATTTTGGCACCTACTTTGTTCTGTCAACTCAAAACAACCAGTCATTCCTTTCCTGACCTCCTGTCCTCAGTGAGGTCAAATGGCTACAGAGAATGGCGTTCCCGTCTTATCGTTTCGAAGCCAGCCTAAAGTTGAAGTAGAGGCGGTAAGCAAACGTATCGAATAAGAGTGAAGTGGAGAAGAGACGAGGGCGAAATGGCGACTACTACGCAAAGCATCATCGTAATTGACCTCACTGTTTCATCGTCCGACAGATGGGTGATTTCTCCCCTTACTGTCACGTGACAATTTTCCACCCACAATGCTGAGACCTCAAGTGCCTAGACTAGTCAGCACGGAGACAACAAAGATAGATCTTGGCTTCAGTGTTACATTGATCCATCCCTCTCCTGCCATTGCGCAGACACTTCTCGTTACCCTAATTTAAGTTCATTTGCTCATTTGCAGATTTCAACGTCTAGAATTATCGCCGTACCTCAGGAAAGGACACTGAGGCAGATGGAAGGGATTAATAGGGTTGGAGTTTAGGATCTTGCCTCCACCCTTCAGTGCTCAGGAGGTATTAAAATGCACTTCAAATGAGGTCCATTCCTTACCACCGTGCTTTGAGTTGTGAACTACTTCCTTTCGCGTCGGACTCTCAACCGCTGCTGCTAACGCCAGTGGACAGTTCATCATGGAGCACTAGGTGTATCAGAAGACATTTTGATGTCAACTTGTTCAACTAAGCCTGAATACCTTTAGTTCACAATGCAATGAAATCAAGTTCAACCCAAAATGCATTTGAAATCCTGTGGAACGTTGTTGTCAGCGGTGCTTAGTTCCTGCTAATCCCGATCACAGATCACAGGTTTGGCATGTTTAGTTTCTCAAAACACTTAGATAGAAATCAAATGAAATAGAGTAGAAAATTCACCATTCGTCTATAGTTTCCCTGATTCCCAACAATTAGTGGTGCCAGTTACTTGTCAAAATATTTTGAGAATACAGGGCAAGTTTGTGGAGCTAACAATCCCAAGGCGGTGAGTTTGACGAGACAGGCTCCTTCCTCATCTTCCACTCAACCTAATGGAAGGAAGGCACTTGGCGAAGACTCGGTGGTAAGGAATCTGCCTCGTTGCAGTTTGATAGCCTACTTTTGCACTGAATTGTTGCAAATCAAAATAATCACATGCTCCCATCACACCACTAGCACGAGGTCCGCAAACCCATTGCTATTTCAATAAAAAAAACTATGTAAGCCGAATTGGGAGTTTTATTCCACCCAAATTTGAGGGTGTTTCCACAAGAGCAATCGAAGTGCTCCACCGGGACAACCGTTCGTCAGGGTAGGATGAATTGTACCAGGACTGGTAGTGCGCTAGCTAGCCAGGGTGACAACTACACTGTGATGAAAAGGCTGGAATGACCCGAGGTCTGAAAACTCCCCTTCCCATCTTATAAGGGCCGACGTGCTCCGAAAAGAGGGGTTTCTGGGTTGACTACTATCAGTGCCCTTTTACTACAAAGGAGCACGCATCCAGACCTAGGGTATTCCATTTTAAATAACTGGATAGAAATGCGAACGATGTCAGAGATTCTATCCCATACATTATGCAACAAGGCATATTATTTTCCTTATCCAAATTCCGGCAAACCAAGTGACGGCAGAACCGCCAAAGCGATTACTTTTTGGGATAGATGAAACATGAGCACTTGACATAATGCAGCAAGTAGGATGTAATTCCATTCTCCAATTGATTTAAATCCGCCTAAAAGTTGGCTAATGGTTGACTGAACAGCGTAGGCAAGCACGAAGCCGACCAGGCATCCCTCGGCGTTGGCTCGTGTGCGCGTGCGCGAACACATCGATTCGCCTCTTATTTGCGCTACTAGTCCTCCCATGCACCATGATGATTGGTTCACAGTCTCATTGAATTTCCGCATCCATTGGCTCTTGAGATTGGTATGCATGTGCGAGTGCGTGTGTGAATACAAGGTTGCCTATTTTTCGTGTGTGCAGCATAGACGCCGTGGCATACGTGCGCGAGTCGGCCAAGTCAAGAGTTAGGCATACAGGCGCAGTAGCGGGCGTACGGGAGGGCGCTTAACACTCCTCACGCAATGATGCCACACCGATCCTCAAGCTCGGAGTGTGGAAGTAATAGAAGAAGACGAAGATGGCAGTGGCGGTGTCTTACCTGTCTCGGTTGTACCACTCGGTGCACTGGCGATGTGAGTTTATTCCATGCTATTGCACGAGGAGACTCAGAGGAGTTGGAACGGTGCATGCAATGCCTCCGAACTTCCCCTATTCTGCTTACAGTGAGACGCGGACATCCAAATAAAGTGCTTGGCACTTTTTTTCAGGAATGCTCGCCCGCCATTTGGGCTGTTGAGTGTCGTCAATGGCATCTGCTTCCTCTTCTCTCTCACTATGGATATGATATTAATCGTCCCCAAATTTGCCGTCGCTGGACATGCTTCTGTCGCAATCAACTCCGTCCTAACAACTCCCCATACAGGCGTCTATGGACTAGAGGTCAGTATACCTACCAGTCTGTTCTGGATTACTTCTTTGCCAGCGTTTATGAGCATATTGGTGAGTTTGAGGATACTCCATTGCTCCAGACACCTGATGTTCGGGAAAATCCCCTTGAACCACTTCTCTCTCACTCCAACGATCTTCTCTCCCATGGGGTGGATGTTCACCGTATCGATTCCATCATTGTCTTTAATTCTCTGGCTGGGTCTTTCGATCGATACATGTGCCACTATTTTGACGCGAGTGATAATGTACTTCCGGACATCCCCAAAGAGGCTGGTACTTTCGTGGAGCTGGAAGTGCTTCAGCATCTCATTGAGAATGGATTCTCGGAGTTTGAATTCTTGGAGTACGTCAGCCCCAACACCAATTGGTTTGGAATCCTTATCTGCCTCCTTGCCCATCCACGACTCCCCAAAATTGTTGAGGCGAATAGAGCAGTTCCTCCTCTACTTCGCTCCGCTGCTCTCCTCTTCATCAACCTTCTCGTTTGGCGACACTCTGCCCCTACCTCTACCGATCTTCAAGATTGTGTAAACAATCTACGACTTCGAAAAACTTACATTCGACGCTATGCTGATCAGCGGAATGTCTTTACTGCTCGGGTCGCGAACATAATTAGAGAAAGCGATAACATGCTTCGTTCTCCTCCAACTCTTGGTCTTCTTGCCAGGAACCGGATTCGTGGGCTCTTGGGTGGCATGAACTTCAAGGCGAAGGTGGCGAGTTTAGGACTACCACAAAACCTCGCTACTTTTCTTGTCTTGGTGAGCGCCGAACATATGTCGTGGATTCGAACGTCACCGTTCGTTGTAGCGGTGGCCACTGGCAAGTTGACTATCGCCTCGTTTGAGGAACTGGAGAGGCTGAGTGATGAGCTAAGTTGTTCGTTATCGCCACTGCAGCCGCCACCGCTACGCACAATCAGGCAGTCGCCTCCACCACTGCCTCGTCTCCCCTCCGTTACCAGGGCGGTTGAATCCGAACCGCCGGTGAGATGCGAGACAGTGAAGCGACGTGCGTCCGCGTGTTCGCGCGTTAATCGACTACAGCCGATGTCAGGACCTGTGCTACGTCTCCAACGTTCGATGACGGCTGTGGTGCGTGGACCCCGACCTAGCTCTGCGCCTCTGTTAAAGGTCACCCAGCGACTGCAATTATCTGTGCGGTGACTTCTCCCCAGCTTCATTTCCCTATACTCCGGGTTTTTCTACGTGTTTGAATCTGTACATAGGTGTGTGTATGTGTGCGTGTTTAAGAAAGCGTATGGTCGGTAGTTTTTTATACTTGGACGCGGGCATCTTCAATTTTGGAGGCGATACACTCCCTTGTCTTGCTGTGTTGGTGTTATTTTTTTGTGGTAATTATCACGATTGTGTTCTATTTTTACAAACATGTATTGGAAGTATTCATTTCTGTTTTCTTTTATGACAAAAATAAAGATTGATAAGTACGTTGACGGGATTCACATGAGAATGTTTGTCTTTTTCTGTTCCTTTGTGACTTGTTTTATATGGAAGTTGTAGAGCAGTAGCTCCCACTGGATATGCTAGTTTAGGTGTAATGAGTTTTGACTCTTTATGGACACGTTGAAGATGCATTTCCCAAAAAAATTGCTACTGAAAAATTAAATGGGTAAAACTTTGAGTTGTGCTACTAATTGGCTGCCCTTGTCTCTTCGGCGTTGTGTAACGCTGACGCCAATTTGCCAACTTCGCTCAACAACACATTGAGCTGCAGTTTCGTGTTTGGTTCTTTGAGCAGATTTGTTCCAGACATCCGAGCTATTTCCCGTCCAGCATCTGTCGTGGGTGTAACTTCGCTCGAAGCGCTATGATGGTTTTTGTTCCGACATCAATGCATTGTCAACTTGAGTGCAGTAAACTTTGCATTCAATATCAACAATGCTTGAGTTGGTACTACTTAATGCGACTCAATTTTCGTGCCTTAGAGACAGCAGCAGGAGATTTTATCCACTGGTTGGCTAGTATTGTGTAGATTTGTCAGCAGTAGAATTAGTCGCATTTAGGTTTGGTAGACCTGTTTTTGACCATTTAGAATGCTGTTGTCCGAGTATTTTATTAGAAGGCTTATTGTGACTCAAGAAGTGCCAAGAGGCATTAGGAAGGTTCGGTATGCATACAAGTGGTCAACGCATGCATAATGCAGTAGATAAAACATTCAACGCGAAATGGTGGGCGGAATTTGCCTTTTCGTTGACTCCCTTTCTACTTCTTGGTGAGTCATTCTGGGTGTAATTTCGTCTTGAGTGTTGACAGAGGAGGCAAAAACGGGACCCGAAAAGTCGAGATTTCGTAGCGTTAGAAGTATGCCTTCAATTTCACAGTGTTGGTTGAGCTGAACGACATCGTTTGGCAGAAAAGATGGCTTATCGTTAACTGCTGTAGCACTCAAATTATTCTCTTAAGACATCACAAAGTGCGCCAGTACAAAACAGGTTTATTAGAACTCCGAATGAGTGAGCTCAGGGGTGGTGACCGAAATCGTTTCGCCTGAAGAGATTGTAAAAATATAAGAGGGAAGTGAGTAACACAAATACTTTTTTGGACCTTGCTTGGACACTGGAATGAGAGCAAAGAAGTTAACAACGAATTGGTCGTCCATATCACTGGTGGTATTCGAGACTGTGGAGTTTGTCGGAGTTCTTGAGTCTCGCATTCTTTCGATCGGAAGGAGGCATCACGAGGCTTGCAGCGGTGCACGCCATCTCTTTTACCGACCGAGTGAAGATTACACTGACCTGAAACTTTGAGCAAATTCCTTTCTTGTTTCGTGGGCGTCCCAGAAGTCTTAAAGTCTTCTGATTCGTGTTTCGTATTTCAATTTGTCGGACCGATTTACCTTAGACAACCAATCTCTTGCATCACTTGATGTCGTTATTTGCAGTGTTTCAAACAAAAAAAGTTAATGCCACATTGCTCAGCACCGTTTAAATTTATTTTTAGCACAAACGCAGTCCCAGAACTGACGGAGAGCTCCTTTTTCCACAAGCAAAACAAAGGCTCACACAACCGGCTGACGTGCAGCTTTCTTAATGAAATGCGTTGCTTCATCAAGTGATGTTTCCAACTTAACTGTCTGCCCACACAACAGTGGCATCCATTTGCGTCAACTGGCACTTCTAACGAGAATGCTTTTAGAGACGTTGCTACCCACACCCATTCCCCTCACTGGACCCACCCCATGCCCACCGGGCAGGGCTGATCCCCGCTCCAATCAGCGGTACCTCGTGCTACCATTACGTCAATTCCCGCAAGGCGTTTGCGAATGTGGCATTTAATGGCGTGGGGAAGGACTGGCAGCGATCCAGACGCAGGCGCAGATTCCTGGGGGCCGGAACCAGGAATACAAGACACAGGCTCCAACAAAGGTTCCTACTTTCTACCGTTTTCCTGATACTCGTAGCAATTGCTGCATTAAATTGGTTGACTTCCTTTTGATCTTTACACATGCTCAACTATGGCCTTTCTGGAAGAGCTTTTCGTCCTTCTAGGCTCTAGTCAAGACTCTTGCAAGGCTACTCAGTGGCCTGGCGGCTCACCTCAGCGTGACCAGGAGGAGAGTTGGAGTTCAAAGCACCCTCAAAGGTGTAACCTTCACTGACCTTTGAGTGTAAAAGTTGTTGCTTTACCTCGAGTCTAGACAACTTCGTCTCGCATCAACACCTCGAACAGGGGAGTGGATGTGATGCAGCGGTTTTCATGTTTGCACTCCGAAATGCAATGGGAAGGCGGGAGGGGATTTGGCAGGCCATGTCTAAAATTGACTTAAATGCAAAAAATTGTTTATTTATTGGTTATGTGGGAAAACAAGTGCTCGCATCAAATCTTCGCCAGCAGTCTTTCCATCGCAGTGTCAGCTCGTCATCGCTAATAAATTACTGCAGTTGTGATAGATTTCTTTTTTTCGAAATAAAATTCCACATGGCATTTGGAGAGGTGTCTTCCTGCTTCTACAAACGGAAAGCAGTGACCCTAAACCAAAATGTCGTGGATGACTTCGTTAGAAGCTGAACACCGCGCCTCGAATCCATCCGTCTATCAAAATGCTATTCATGCAGCCCCGTGAAATTTACCTAATCATTTTCATGTTACTGCTTTGGCAGTTTAACTTTGTATTCTCAGTACCCTTCTATATTGAATGCGCCCTTCTTCTGTTGGAATTACTGTAATTAAGAAAGCAGAAGTCGAAACCTATTGACTAGCATCAAGCGAAGCTGAGTTCCTGCACTTAAAGTTTCCCATTTAGCGACAACTGTCCCTGTAGCCCGATTCATTTACATCCTCTGAAGACTGAAAGCGATAGTTGCATTGAGCGTTGGACTTCAGCGCCTTTGAGTCAGTGCTCGCTAACGCTCACTTGTCGCGTCCGATCACCTTCCACTCGCATGCTTCAGATCTAATTTGCGAGGTGGTCACGAGGTCCACAACCTTTGCTTCGCGGTTGAAGACCAAATTATGAACGCGGAAGCAAGCGTAAAGTACTGCAAGTGTTCCGAGCGATGACAATGGGACCGAACCAGAGGGTGGCTAAAAGTGTTTACTCCTTTGCTACTGCATCTCATTCCCTGATGCACAATTTCGTGAACTTTTCTAACAGCCTCTCATGCCGACAATTCTTCGCTTCTTGGCCTTGTCCCTTTCTATGGTATTTCCAAAAGAGTGCGCCTCCTGGGACTTTCAGAGATGATTCGACCACCCAATTAGCCCCTCTCCCGCACTCCCTCCTTCACTCGATCAACTGTGAGGTGTCAATTCCATCGAGAATCGAGACCGTGTGAGCTGATTCGCTTTGAAACGCGCAAATGCTTCTACAATCATGGGCTTATCAACAAAATAATAGTGAATAAATAACACCAGAAAATACGCATACCCTGGCTTTGATGATGGCGAGTGCATCTGATTTGGTGATGAAACAGGTAGAAATTTCACACAGATGTAGCTGCTTCAACTTTACTCCTTGAGGACTTTTAACTTGAATTACTTGTTCTATGGTGGGCGTTTATGCGTAGAATCAACTTAAAAGCTTTTTTATGCTCGTCATATGATTCCTCTTCTCAGCTCTCTTCATCTTTGCTTCCACGGAGTGGGAGTTCGAGAAAGCTGACCTCCACTCTTCAAAATTGTGTCACGTGGTATTCCAACAACATTCGCGAGCTGTTAAGTCCATTGACAAAAAAATCACGTGGTCGACGAAATTTCTGACTAAAATAATGACAATGTTTTCCCTTGGCGTCTAAATGGCGATTAACTGGTGTCATGTGGTCGACTCTTTTGACGGTCGGTGAGACAGAGGGCGGAGGGAGGCGCAAAAAACAGTGCGATGACGCAAAACGGTTCCATCTGCCTCCGGCCCGTTTGAGCACGGGAGACGCATTAAGCAGGCGCTTAACGTCAACATCACAGGGCGGGACGATCTTCAAACACTGCATCAATGTGAAAATACGTTCTTAAAGAACAACTTTTGAAACCATCCTTAGTCGATGATCTCGATCTCGTATTAACTGATTGGCCATCTTTACACTGAAGGTGAAGGGTTAGCTAATGCTTCCCTCAACTCTAAAATGCCAATTCAACGTCCCGACGATTAGTTGGCCAAAAATCCGGTAAAATGTAGGCTTATGAAGAGTAGACAAAAGGACGCCTTGTTATCGATATGCTGCTGTTAAAAGCTTCCAGCTTCCATGCCGCTCGACGACAAAGAGGCAATTTTACTCGCCTACGAGGACGTGGACCACGTGACTCAATCGCCATCAGCGAGCGGGTGAGTTCACATTCAGTCCCAAACCATCCCTACTTTCGTCCCACGTGTACATGCGGAGTGCGAAAAAAATATCACCCACTCGCGTAGAATTTCAAGCACAATTCTTACAAATTTGCGATGCTAGGCGAATAGAGAGAAAGGGCCACCGACAAGGCAAAGCACACAACGACTAAAGTCTCCAGTCTAGAGCCGACACAACACTTTATCATCGGCTAAAGCACCACCAAAAGAAATCTGAGGTGGAATGGGTTTGCGTGGCTTAAAAACGTCAGTTTGATGAGCTTTCCGTCCTAGCGAAGCGCATGTCACAACCTTGCCTCACTTGCGCGGCGATGAGGGTGATGAAAACGGAGTTCCTTTACAGGCAGTGCAGAAATAGGGATGTATGGCAAAGAATTAAGTGGTTAGCACAATTCCAAATAACATCGTGTAAATTCACGTTCCCATGCGATCGAGATTTAAATGATCTGGGAAGGCATGCAATGGAATTTTAGTGTAGTATGATTTCCCACTGACTTCATCAAATAATTTGAGCCTTTCCCATGAAACTCGCGACCATAATGATCAAAATGAGGCTTTTTAATAGAACAACAATTTCTTGTGGCTGTTTGCAATCGTCCATAGCCGAATGAGAGTCGCTCGAGGCACAAAATGATGCGAAAAAAATGCCTTAAGGGGCAAAGCCGAATTCAACCTTATCAGTGCCCAAGAGTGGTACGAAAAGTGAATGAATTGCCCTTTTTGAGTTATACTTGAGTCAAAGGAAATTTCAAAAAATTACATTTTCTTGGGGTGAAAACTGTCCCTTCTCCACCGCTCTCCAAATAAATAAATAAATAAATTGGAAGGACTTATGCTGTTGGTGGTGAAATTACATTGACTGAATTCAGTTGGCAGTTATTCTAGATGAATATTTTCCTCAAAATCGTCACAACCTTAAGGTGGCAAAGACCGACTTCCGTTGAAGGACTAAGCCTATCGTTTGACATATGTGAGAGAGTATCTGTTCAACAAAAAAGCAGTCCGATAAATTGAAAAACTACTGGTGCTGTTCATGGGCTTTGCACGTTAAAACCAAACGGTCGTAAAACTTTTGCAGTGACTAAGTTCACTGTTGTCGCTAGTTCACGATTGTGAAGGGAGTTTGAGAGGAGGACCCCATGTATCCATCGGTCGCCCTCCCTCTCAAAATCGACCTTCCGACGATTAACCACTGCCAAATAGGCGGACAACAGGAGAGGTGGAATCTGCGTCAGGACACAATGAACGCACTCATACTGATAACATTGTTCGTTGGTCCAGCTCCATGGAAGTGAGTTTGGTCACGGCACTTCGTCTGCTCTTGGGGGCATTATAAAGCATTTGTATCGGGAGTGGAAGGCTATAAAGACCAGCAGAGCAGAGCTTTAATACATGGGACTCCATGCCTCGGATATGACGAATGATTTGTGGGTCTGAAAGGCGCGCATATTCATTGCATGACTCGAATGGATGTCGTCCACTCGTGTGGCATTATTGCCCTCATTGTCGCTTTTTTGGGTTATGATTTAAATCCACTATGCTCACGCCTCCGTGCTCTTGAATTCAAACTTACTGCACTGTTAAAAAAGGTAAAGGCGTAACACCGATGAGGAACGCGTTGAGGCGAAGCTAAAAGACTACAATAAACCTAAATGCAATTTCGGCAAGCAGACTTAGCGGCTACCACCGAAAGAAAGTGAATAAGTAATCAACTTACTCGAGGTGAGTGAATGTTTTGATGATGCCTTGAGAAGTGCCTGCTTATTAGGAGATTGCAAGCAGAGCTATTCTACAAACATTGGAAGCTGATTTATTCATCATAAGCGTCCTTACTTTGCCCCGAAGAAACGACGTTTTCGCTTCAAGATTGCGGCCAGAGTGTACTGAAGAAACTCAGTAACGCTGATACTTGACAGCAACCGACAATCGACACCCACTTGACAACACTTGAAATGAATTAATTGAATGAAGCCGCTTCAAGTCACTCTGCTGCCGTAGCGTACAGTGTAGGACACAAAACTTACGCATGCTAAAACATAGTAGCAGACCTTACTAAGGGTGAAAGAAAGGGAGAGGACTAAGGAGCCCCATCTCACCTCTCCCTCCTACTACCCAATCGCTTAATGACATTTCTTTCACCGCTTCAATCCATTGGGTTACCAAATGTCCAATAGAATTGGGAGTTGGAGAACGCATTCTAGATGGACAGAGGGACAAAGGGTGGGGACATGGCAAAAATAGATGTCGACAGAAATGCAGCAGACAACTAATCAACGCGATTCCATCCATCCACGATTCCACACATCCATTTTCCCACCTCTTTAAGTGTGAAAATGGAAATGACAAAAATGAAAAAGCAGCAAAGTGAAAAACAACTTTCATTGTTCCTCATCACGTCAAGAAGGAAGGAGATGTAACACCCAGAAATGTTTATATATAATTATCACAAGGCGCTGAGTAGTGGTAATAAGAGTGGTGTGAAAGACACCGGAAGCGAGTGAACTGACGGTCGGAGGAATCAGCGACCTTTGCGGAGAATGACGGGAGTGGCAGAAGGAAGAGACGACTCTTCGTTGGCGCAAGGAAAGGTGCCACTGGAAAAGTACGGGGCGGCGTCCTTTACCAGGAGGGTGTGACACATGTCACAGACGTGTGCGGGGCGTGAACGGGTACCAGAGGGAGGAATCACCCTAGCTAGACAGGCTGAGCAGAAGATAGCACCGCAGTGACGACAATTCTGTTTCACCATGCCAGTCTCAAAGGGGCGCTTGCACCCAGAACACTGTGTCACATCCTCCGGATCCTGCCAACGAACTTCTTGTGTTTGCTCTCGCTGACGCTCCAATTGGATCTTCAATGTAGAAGGAGAAGGAGAAACGGAATGACATTCATCTCAATAATGTTAAATTTTGAGTGGGATGG